CTGTGAAATGTCCAATTTCTTTTGCTTACTGTGGCTGATAAGAATTTCACTGACAGTATGGACATAGAAGATTGGCCTTTGGGCAGAGACCATAGTTGGGTATGTTCTGTCTAAGAGCATAAGCTTTTAAGAAATAAAGCTCAGTGTCCCTCAAGAAAAAGAAACGGGTAACAGAACACAGAGGGATTTTCAAACTTGAAGAATTAATATTCACCATGTTTCCCTGAAAAGATGACAAAAACGTTTTGTTGTCTGACTCTATTATTCGTTTCCACATTTTCATTTATGGTAGAATAAGTGAGTTCAGAGATGACTTATCTGTCAATAGGTTAACAGTCTTGGGCTTCCTACCTCGATAAATAATTGTCAAACAATTATGTATCTTACAAACTTATAGGAACATAGTGGTATCACATGAACATGCCCTAAACAGACCTGAAAAGGCTTACCAGCATTCAGGTCTCTTTGATAAAGGGGCTTGCTGAAATACGCAAGCTCTACGAGAGAACTTCGAGGCCAGAGAGTCATAGCAGTAAGTCTGGTTTCTATAAGCGAAGACGGAGAAAGACCCCGGGATATAAGGCCCACCATGAGAGATTTCCCTGAACGGAGAATTCCATTTAAGCAGCGGTTCTCCATTCCAATGGACCTAATGCTCTTTTTTAAGATCTTGAATTATAATCCAGGTAATACAAGTTATCTATACACATGATTTATAAAGTAAAAAGCAATATAATATCCTAACTGTAATACAAAGATGTAAGACAGAAGTAGTTTACAATAAGTCATATATTTCAATATCTAAATACTCAGGCAAGGCTAACCTAGAAGACTTAAGAAGCAGTCAGTTGTTTGCACCTATCTGGAAAAGCACTTGAATGCAGTTCAGTCTGATGAACACGTGTGGTTTTGGCAATTCAAATGCCACAGGGGCACAGTCATGGCTAATGTGATCTTCTGAATGTGAAAAACCTTTGGTCAAATTCCAGATAAAACCAATGACAACTTTCCCTCAATTCACAAACTAATGACATTATTTTAAAATTAAGTGCATGCTACAACTGAGTTATAATATTGAATGTTTATGTTTAAAATGAAGACATCTCTAAACTAAGAAAACTATAAATAGGTTTTAGGAACACGACGTGTTCAGCAGGTCAGCCCAAGGTCAAGTGGGATCAGTTCACTGTTGGGTGGGTATGTTTCATGCAAGCAGAATACAGAGCATCCCTGGCTCCACCCAGCGACAGTGAGCAAACAAACAAGCAAGCAAACAAACAATCCAGTCTTCTCCAAAATGGCCCCAGGGACACCGCCACCCACAGTGAGAACCACTGGTCCAGAGTTTCAGGGCACCTGGGACTCTGCAACAGCTACCGGAAAATCTGGGGCTGCCTTCATTCCAACACATCCAGAGAGCAATGAAACTAGCAAACCATGGAATTTGGCACAAATGACATTCGCAGTGCCTGGCTACTCCCCAGGCAATCAAAGAAATGCCAAGTTCCAGAACAATATTACAACCATTGCTTGCATTTCTGACAAAGTCTCCCTTCCCTCGTTTCTTTGTTAACTTCCCAGCCAGGAGTTATTTTCATTTTTCTGGGGACAGTCCCCAGTCCTTCAGCCCCTGCAATGTGCCAAGCACACGGTACACACTGTGAGCACCTCTAAGGGGAAGGTGGACACCTTGGAGACTGAGAAGGAGCCACGCTTGGTCAGGCCCAAGATTTCCTTACCAAAAAGGCAACTTTCAAACATTCCTCTACCAAAAAACCTTAATACAGTTCATGTCTGACACATGCCAGGCTCTGCTGATGGCAAACAGAGCACGTCTACGCTGGCCTGGTGGGCTGTGGTTCTAGAAGCCCCCACCGTGATCTCCCACTGGAGTGACAGCCTGCACCCAGAATCACTTCCCTTCTGGGAGGCTGGGAAGAGCAGCAGGGCGGACAGTCACTAGGTGGCAGTGCCACACCAGTTTATCCCCACGGCTGCCTGGCTGAGTTTGGGCCGACCAGTGCCAGAGTCAGGGTTATGAGGCGACTTTGCTGGGAAATGCCTTCAAGTGAAAGCCCCTCTCCCGGGCATCCTGGCGGCATGGGTTGTTCAATTAAAAAAAAACAAAAACGGCTGTCACAAGTGATATACACACGGCCTGGCCACTCCTACATCTGGGAGCCCTCAGTTACTACCAGGTATCTTAGGGGCATCACTTGTGGTGAGAGAGTGTGTATGTGTGTGTCTGGACATGGATTCCATCCTAGATCCAATCTAATGAGCTCTGAAGTAGCAGCATATCTTCACATTTCACCCTTCTGAGATTGTCTACATCAAACACCAGACTACACCTCTTAAATGTGCAAGAAGAAAAAAAAACTCCCTGTGAATTGTTCTAACCAGGCCATGTCGGAACTGAACCAGCATCTGAGGATACAGACGTCAAGGTCTGGTTTACTCACTCTGAGATCAAGTCCAGGAAGGGCTGCTCTGTATTCAGAGGTACTGACCACCACACCCCCACTTGGCTGCCTTAACCAAAGTAGCTGAGTTTTAACAAGTCTGAGCCTCCCTTTCCTCCAGCATGAGACCCACACCACGCACCTCCCGGGTTGCTGTAAGCACTAAGATCATGAAGTACTTACCAGATGCTCCTCGATCAGCACATCAAGACTGACTCTGTGTTCTGCTTGACCAAACCTGTTTGTGGAAAAGCAGACACAAAGAAAACTCGCTGCCTTTGCAAGTGTACCTTCCTGCACGCAGGTGAGGTGGCAAACACTGGGGCTTCCCCCAGCACAGGCAGCTTTTGGTTTTGCCCCCTTCCAGTCTCCCCCACGTTCTGTTGTCACTGTCAGTGAGCACAGTGACTAGTACCGCTGAGATGGCAAAGAAGAGGAATGGAGAAAGGAGGAAGGGGAGGAAGCGGTAAGTCAGGAGGTGAGGGGAGGTTAGTCCATAAAACAAGGAGAGTAAGACAGAGGGATGTTCAGCAACAAGCAGTCTGAATGAGAAAAAAGAAAAAGAAAACTCTTGAACCTTTCTATGTCATCCTGTTCTCCTACTCCTCAGGTGCCCGTCCTCTCACCTACACTAATAATTCCACCCTCTGGGGGAAAGGGGGAGGAGGAAGGTACATTTTTGTGTCTAGTATCTGTCATGCGTCCCTGAGGGATTTTTGACTTCTGTGTAGGCTCTCCGTCAACTGGAAAAGAATCTACCCCAGTGACCCCAATCAACCCAGCTCTGAGAGGCCACATCAGCAGTACGCAATTATGAACTGACTCTAAAGCTTTAGTTTTCAAAATATAGCAAGTGAAAATTCCTACTTAGAACACAGGACAATAAGAAGTTCTAGCCTCCAGTACTTCACCGTCCCAGGCTATGCTTGTAGGGAAGAAGAACATTCCCAAATGTGGTTTTATTCCACAGAGAAACAGGAGAAGCAGAGAGTCAGAAAACTGAGCCACCAAACCAAGACAAGAGCAGAGGGAGCTCTCTGGGACACTGACCTGAAGATGACTCCAGCGAAGCTGAGGAGAAGGACAGTATATTTTCTAAGAAGGGCATCTGCAAGGTTTTCCAGTTAAAATTTCCCACTTCAATTCTAAAAATTTGTCTTTGAGTGCCTGCTAACTGCATGCACCTTGCTTGACTGCGCATGATCAGCTAAAATATAGACCTTAACCCCCAAAGCATCACGAACTGAATTAAAACTCAGGTCTAGGTTCATAAAGGAGGAACACGTGTGGGGAACAGACCTTCTTCAAACCCAATCCACTGTCACCAAAGACCTATCAATCCTCCACTAAGTGAAGCCCTCGGAGGTCTGCAGTGAAAACGGTATGTCTTGTTAGGCCTAGAGAAAATGTTTTTATAGAAGCATAAATTAAAAGAGGAAAGAGATGAAGGGAATAGAAAAAGAGGGGTAAAGCAAAAGAGGCTGAAAGTGAGAAAAGAAATGGTGGAAGTTATTTTGAGTACAATGCTGGGGAAATGTAAATAAATGACTGGAGAAAAAAGACTACATAAACCATGAAAACTCACAAACATTAGACTCAAGTCAGTCTACGACTCACTTACACAAGTTAAGAATCAGCCTCATTTTCTAACATCACGCATAAACAGATCTCAGTCTTCACTATTTTCTACTATTGTTTCCAATTACTCCAGAAAAAGAAAAATTAGAAAAAACTCAAAAGTTGTTCATTTTCCTTCAATTTTTAGTACTTTCAGAATTTAAAATGGTAGTCAAAACCACTCCTAGCTGAATGTGTATCGCCTGCAGAAGCAAACATGGGGAGAGTGTGCACTTAGGAAAGCAAGCTACACCGACTACACTGGAGATGATCGTTGATGCCACATGTGACAGACTTCCCCCCAGGGAATCGCAATTCAGCTTGCGAAATCAGTGAGATTTTTTCACACAGAGAATTTGGGAATCAATAAAAAGGAATACTGCAAATGGAAACCTGGGTGGAAAATGACCTCTGCACTTGGGCTGTTTGCAAGTAACCAGAAGCCATCGAGGATCAGGATCACGACACTCCAACCAAACCAGGAGCTTAAGCCTAGCTATGCAACGCTTGTCAGTCATTTCTTCATCTCTTCAGTACAACGACCATGGCAATGATGTGATCTCCTTAAAATCTACTCCTGTTAAACTGTACTAACGAAATGTGAACCTACCGAGCCAGAAACATTCCCTTCTGTGAAAATGACAAAACTGGGTTTAGAGCAGCCAATGTAACAGCTAGATCTAAAAACACACAGTCCTCCGTGTGTTGAACTGAGATGATGAAGGGCTAGCTATGCAGGCAGAAGTCAATCCGTGCACACTGGCCTTCTCCTTCACCTTACTAAACCAGTTTAAGACTTACTATGTGGATAGCTTGGTAAACCACAGAGTGCCCCAGTGGATAAAGTATCTGCATGGGTTCAGCACAGGCTGTAAGGCAGCTTACAGGAAAGATCTAACCTGAAAACAGACAAATTAGAATGGGAACTATGAACTTCATTGCTGCCCTGTTTAAAAAAAACTTTCCATAAATTTCTGAAAACATTCAGTATCTATGCTGTCCAATTCAGTGGCCACTACTGAGCACCTGAAAGGTGGCTACTACAAACGAGGAATTGAGTTTTTAATCTTACTTCATTTTAAACAATTTAAAATTAAAATTAAATGTCCATGTGGGATGACTGGCCACTATACTGGACAATGAGGACAAAAGGGCCATGCTGTGGCATGGGAGCCACAGAACACACATAATCACACCTTAATAACATAGCTATTTTAATTCAGGCATAATATTCACATTGAACTTTCTATCCACCGAAATGAAATGGGACAAAGACGTATAATACACTCCTGCACTTCCAGGACAGGAAATTACATATACATTTACATGACATTCCATGCTCCACTGTTACTTGTTAACTTATTCTGTTGTTACGCTTCTTGGGTAAAGAAAAGAAGTATTTTAAAGAAAGAAGGTGAATTCTGATTACCTTGTGTGTATTCACTCATGCAGACACGCAGTGCTCCCCTAGTTCGTGGAGCCTGCACCAGGTACTGGGGCCAGCAGGGAGGCAAAGTACCCTAATCCGAAATCCACAGTGAATGAAGGATTACCTTAGTCTGCACAGTCAGGCAAAGCCCCCACTGTTCTTCCTATTGGGTCTCCTTTAGTCAATTTCCGCAATCCTGCCCATACATACTATGGGACATAGCTGGTGCCCAAGGAGGAATTCACAGAAACATGATAGCCAGGTAGGTGCCTTTTAGGTTAACTCACTTCCAAATCAAACAACCTGAACACCCGAGTGTTTCTCTCATTGTCAGTATTCAAACTCTGCTCACTTGGCATCCTACTAAAAAAGTCACAGAAGCAGCCTCCCTTCATATATTTACAAGATTATTTTGACTACTGTTCTGTGGTATGTATACTGATAGCACCTATAGAAAAAAAAAGTCATGGGAATGGGTGTGTAGATGATCTCTTTTTACTCTGCATCTTTTGGTATCTGTCAAAGTTGTTTCAAAACAGATGTTTCTCTAGTGGGAACGTTTCATTTAGACAGCTACTTAGCTTCCACAGAAACAATTCTGAACCAGTGTGAAGAATAATGCAGCCCACAATGGCTTTCTTTGGCTCCATTTGACTTAATGAATATTTGTTTCTTAACATGTATATTTTCCTTAAGAATAACATTTTCAAACAGGGTAACCACAAATCAAAAGCATACAATAGAGTCACAAAAACCAAAAAGAAACCAAGATAATACAAAAGAAAATTAACAAACCAAAAAAAGGAAAAAGAAAGAAGAACTACCAAATCAACTGGAAAACTAAGTTCAAAATGGCAGTAAATACACATCTATCAATAATTACGATAAATGCCAACAGACTAAATGCTCCAATCAAAGGACATAGAGTGGCAGATTGGATAATAAAACAAGAACCTACAATATGCTGCATACAAGAGACCCACTTTAGGGTAAAGGACACATACAGATTGAAAGTGAGAGGATGGAAAAAGATATTTCATGCAAATGGAAATGACAAGAAAGGAGATGTAGCAATACTGATTTCAGACAAAACAGACATTCAAACAAAGGCCATAAAGAAAGCTATAGAAGGACACTATGTAATGATTAAAGCAGCAATACAAGATGAAGATTTTACACTCATTAACATATATATACTCAATATAGGAGCACCTATAAATATTAACAGATACTAACAAATATGAAACAAATATTAGCAGGCGTAAAGAGAGAAATTCATGAGAACACAATCATAGTAGGGGACTTTAACACCCCATTAACATCACTGGACAGATCTTTCAGACAGAAAATCAATAATGGAGATATTAAATGATACAACAGAACAGTTGGACTCAGTTGATATTTTTAGGACATGACATCCCCCCCAAAACAGAATATACATTCTTTTCAAGTGCACATGGAACATTCTCTGGGATAGATCATATACTCAGTCACAAAAGAAGCCTCAACAAATTTAAGAGGACAGAAATTACTTCAAGCATCTTTTCTGACCACAATGCCGTGAAACTAGAAATCAGCTACAGAAAACCAATGGAGAAAAAACCAACCGTATGGAGATTAAACAAAATGATACTAAAAAACCAATAGGTCAACAATAAAATCAAAGAAATTAAAAAATACTTTGAAACAAATGAGTGAAAACACAACCACACAAAATCTATGAGCTGCAGCAAAATCAGTCCAAAGAGAGACATTCATAGCAATATAGGCCTTCCCAAAAACCAAGAACAATCTCAAGTAAATAACCTAACCTATTACCTAAAAGAATTAAGAAAAAAAGAGCAAACAAAACTTAAAATCAGCAGAAGGAAGGAAATAATAAAGATCAGGGAGGAAATAACTAAAATAGAGATTTTTAAAAAACAATAGAAAGAAAAGCAATCAAATCAAGAGGTGGTTTTTTGAACGAGTAAACAAAATGGACAAACCTCTAGGCAGCCTTACCAAGAAGAAAAGAGAGAAAACACAAACAAAATAAGAAAGGAAAACTGAAAAATTATAACCAATATCACATAAATACAAAAAAACCATAAGAGAATACTATGAACAACTATATGGAAACAAACTGGACAACCTAGAAGAAATGGACAAGTTTCTGGAAACAGTCCACCAAGATTGAACCAAGAAGAAATAGACCACCTGAACAGACCGATCACTAGAAATGAAACTAGAATCAGCAATTAAAAAAAAAAATCCCTACAAACCAAAGTCCAAGATGAGATTGCTTCTCTGGAGGATTCTACCAGCATACAAAGAAGAACACATACCGATCCTTCTCAAACTCTTCCAAAAGACTGAAAAGGAAGGAGTACTCCCAAACTCATTTTATGAAGCCATCATCACCCTGATACCAAAACTACAAAAAGAAACTACCAAAAAAGAAACCTACAGGCCAATATTGCTAATGAACATAGATACAAAAATCCTCAACAAAATATTAGCAAACAGAGTCTAACAGCACATAAAAAAGATCATACACCATGATCAAGCTGGAGTCATCCCAGGGACACAAGGATGGTTCAACATAATCAAATCAATAAATGTGACACACCACGTCAAGAAAAGAAAGGAGAAAAACCACATGGTCATCTCAATAGACACAGAAAAAGCACTTGATAAAATTCAACACCCATTTATGATTAAAAAAACTCTTACCAAAGTGGGTATAGAGAGAACATACCTCAACATAATAAAAGCTATTCAAGACAAACCCACAGCCAGCATTAATACTGAATGGTGAAAAACCAAAAGCCTTCCCACTAAAATCTGGAACAAGACAAGGATGTCCACTCTCACCATTTCTATTCAACATAGTCTTGGAAGCCCTAGCCACAGCAATCAGGAAAGAAAAAGAAATAAAAGGGATCCAATTGGAAGAGAAGAGGTAAAATTGTCACTGTATGAGGATGACATGATATTATATATAGAAAACTCTAAAAGCTCCACACAAAAATTACTAGAGCTAATAAAAGAATTCAGCAAGGTAACAGGATATAAGGCTAACAAACAAAAATCAGTTGCATTTCTTTACACTAACAATGAATTAGCAGGAGAAGTAAAGAAATAATCGCTTTTAAAATCACATCCAAAACAATAAAATACTTGGGAATAAACCTGACCAAGGATGTGAAAGACTCATACATGGAGAACTACAAAACACTGATTAAGGAAATTAAAGATGACTTGAAGAAATGGAAAGATATCCTATACTCTTGGGTTGAAAAAGTCAATATCGTTAAAATGGCCAAACTGTCCAAGGCAATCTATAGATTTAATGCCATCCCTATCAAATTACATTTTCAAAGAACTAGAACAAACAATCCTAAAATTTACATAGAATCACAAAAGATCCAGAATTGCCAAAGCAGCACTGAAGTAAAAGAACAAAGAAGTAAAAGGAGGAATAACCCTCCCAGACTTCAGACAACACTACAGAACTACAGTCACCAAAACAGCATGATGGTTATTACCATAAAAAATAGACATATGGATCAATGGAACAGAACAGACAGCCCAGAAATAAACCCACAGACCTACGGTCAATTAATCTTCGACAAAGGAGGAAAGAATTATATGATGGAGAAAAGTGGCGTTGGGAAAACTGGAACAGCCGCATGTAAATCAATGAAGTCACACCATACACAAAAATAAACTCAAAATGGCTTAAAGACTTAGATAATTAAGACAAGACATGATAAAGAAGAAAACAAAGGCAAAACATTATCTGACATAAATCTTAGCAATGTTCTCCTAGGGCAGTCTACCCAAGGCAATAAAAATAAAAGCAAAAATAAACAAATGGGACCTAATTTAAACTTATAAGCTTTTGCACAGCAAACGAAACCATAAGCAAAACAAAACGACAACCTATGGACTGGGAGAAAATATTTGCAAATGATGTGACCAAAAAAGGTTTAATTTCCAGAATATATAAACAGCTCATACAACTTAATAACAAAAAACCAAATAACCCAATCCAAAAATGGGCAGAAGACATAAACAAGCAATTTTCCAATGAAGACATACAAATAGCCAATAAACACATGAAAAAAATGCTCAATATCACTAATCAGAGAAAGGCAAATCAAAACTATAATGAGGTATCACCTCACACCAGTCAGAATGGCCATCATTCAAAAGACCACAAACAGTCAATGCTGGAGAGGGTGTGGAGAAAAGGGAACCTTCCTACATTCCTACCTTGGTGGGAATGTAGTTTGGTGCAGCCATTATGGAAAACAATATGGAGATTCCACAAAAGACTAAAACTAGACTTGTCATATGATCCAGCAATTCCAATCCTGGGCATATATCCAGAGGGATCCTTAATTCTAAAAGATACATGCACCCCCCCGTGTCCATAGCAGCACTGTTTACAATAGGCAAGACATGGAAACAACCTAAATGTCCATCGACAGATGACTGGATAAAGAAGTTGTGGTATATTTATACAATAGAATACTACTCAGCCATAAAAAAGAATAAAGCAATGCCACTTGCAGCAACATGGATGGACCTAGACATCATCATTGTAAGTGAGGTAAGCCAGAAAGAGAAGTAAAAATACCATATGAGATCGCTCATTTATGGAATCTAAAGAAACAAAAAAAGGATATTAAAGAACTCATCTACAAAACAGAAAGACTTGCAGACTTAGTAAACAATCTTATGGTTACTGGGGGAAAGGGTGTGGGAAGGGATAAATTTGGGATTTTGAGATTTGCAAACGTTGGCCACTATATATAAAAATAGATTAAAAAAACAAACTTCTGTATACCACAGGGAAGTATATTCAATACTTGTAATGAAAAAGAATATGAAAACGAATATAAGTATGTATATGCATGCCTGGGACATTGTGCTGTACACCAGAGACTGACACATTGTAAGCAATTATAATTCAATTTAAAAAAAAAGAAATAACCTTTTCACAAAGTCTCTCCTGATGGAAAGTTGGCTGAACACTTTACACAAGGGTTGCCTTCTAAAATTAAAGAGGAAAATCAGTAATAACTGTCACACCTTTATTTTTCCCTCAGTCAGGAAATGGAGATAAGGTATATGTGGGACATTTTTGTTTCTCTACTAAGGATTTAATGATTTTCAGTTTATACACACACACAAGTGCATTACGAATATAAGGGGTGCTTATCCTGCAATCATTTGGCAGGTGTCACTTCGTGTATTTTCCAGGGCGTATCTTTCAAACCCACAAACCCATTTATACACATAGAAGCGATGTTGCTACTGCATCGAGAATTGTGATCTCCATCATATATAACTCAGGGGCCATCTGAACTTTGAATTGGAGATTGGCTGGCACGGACACATGGTGGCCTCAGAACAGAACAGATGATAAAGCCACATACTGTGCTTGGTGCAGTGTGGGGTGCAAGGAGCAAAAGGATCTTAGGGGCTATTTTGGGGCTGGTGGAGAGAAGCAGCAGGCGTCCTGCAGGTCTGTGTCCTAACCCCTGCCTCCAGGGAGAGACAAGAAAGAAGTTCAGTGTTCAGCACGACAGGTGGGGTGCACGCTGGCCTCTGGGGACACTCAGGCCAGTCAGCAGTGAGACATATAAATAGCACGGCTTCCAATCTGTGCCATCTCTGCAGCAAACTGCTGTCCCTCCTCCATAGCCCTCTCCTCCATCAAGTAGTCTCCAGACACCGTACTGCCTGCCCCAAATCAGGCAAGGGGGAGAGGGGGTTACCTTTCACTAAGCCTCATCCCTACAATCAAGGAGCCGAAACAGAGCCATTTCTTCTCGGCCTGGCCTCTGCTGGCCTCTCCAGTCTTCCTTCTTGCTCGTCTCGCACTTGGATTTGAAGCTCCAGCTGAAGAATCCATTCACAGGGTATACAATGTTCTCACCCCTCCACACATGCTGTCCTTTCCTCTTATACCTTAATCCCCCTTCTAGCCTGGCACCTAGTCCTTCGCATCCCATCTCCAAAGTCATGTCTTAATTCTTATGCCCCTCTTCCTCCTAAGAGTGGGTCAGGCAGCCCCTTCAGTACAGTCTCCTGCACTGCTCTCTCTTACCACCACTGTCCTGACGGGTGCACACTGTTTCTGGTTTAAAGACACACGCCAAGTGGTACTTAGAACCATGGTAGATTCCAAACCATAGATTTTTAGTGAATGAACAAGTGAAAAGCATCCTCATTTAAACCACCATATTGTAGGGCCGAGATGATGGAGGATTCATCAATTACAACAGACACTGTCCCAGCCCCCTTGTCTCCGGACTACCTCCCCACATCCTCCTCCTCTCTGGTCCCTGAGTTATGTTTCTAAAACATAAATCTAACTATGCTATTTTGTCTCATAACCTTGGATGGCTCCCCTCTGTTCAAAAAGAAAAGTCCCACCTTCTTAGCGTAGTATCCAAGGCCATTTACAACTTGGTCCAACCACCATCCTTGCCATTTCTTCCCATCACCAGCCACAAGCCAAACTCTGCTGCTCTTGGTCCCTGGCTCCTAATTGTCCTTACCACACTTCTCCATCTTCAACATCTATCCTATCTGAGAAGTGTTCCCTACTTCCTTGAGGCACAAGTCCTCAAGGATGGCACAGCATTGGTGTTAAAACTGTAATTTTATTTTGTAATTTGTCTCTTCCACTGGTCATTAAGAACCCGAAGGGGGAATGTCTCTTACATCCTGTTGACTAGCTCAAGATTTGGTTTCTGGTAGAAGTTCATTAAATTTCTGTATGCTGAATTATAAAAAGTTTAAATCCTACATGTTTAATCACTAAATAAATTGCAATTTTGGAAGTTATTTGCTTAAATAGAACCACAAAGTCAGGATAAATCAAACCTAATACAGTCGTGTTTTCGTCATGAAGCCAAACAGTAAGATAAATATATTACCTAGACTATGAACGCCCACACTCTTATAGTTTTCCTTGTTTTGTGTTGTTGTATGTTGCAATTTGCTGACTGTGTGTGTCTCA